GAGAGAGAGAGAGAGAGAGAGAGAGAGAGAGAGAGAGAGAGAGAGAGAGAGAGAGAGAGAGAGAGAGAGAGAGAGAGAGAGAGAGAGAGAGAGAGAGAGAGGAGAGAGAAGAGAGAGAGAGAGAGAGAGAGAGAGAGAGAGAAAGCCCATACGCCAGAACTGAAGGAGCGGAAATCTATAAAAGCTGTAGTGTTTTCCCAGTTGCTCAATGTCTGCCATGTCACATCTCCAGGAAATCGTACGTTTTCTCTCATGAAGAAAACGGATTTAGGAAAACTTTAGTTCCTTGTTTTCAGGGTAAACTACGGTAGTTACGAAATCTTCCATTTCAGGAAAAGAAGGCCGGGAATCAATAGGAACGTTGCATAGCTTCAGGCAAAGGATCATCCTTGATGGTCGTAGGAAAAGATAGCGCGGGATTACTCCACAGCGATGCCACGTAAACAGGAAAGATAACGTAGGGTTTTACTGATAATAGTTCCCTTGGCAGCAATCTACGCCAGTTCTGTAAGCTCCATAGAATAAGGACGATGTGCATTTACATGTTACCATATCATTGTGTTCACTGTCAATTTCTTGTTATCAGCATCATTACTATTTTCATTATCATTATAATTGATGATATTGTCATTATTGTTGTTATCACCATTATTACAATCATCATTATTATTTTTATTATCACAGTCATTATTATCATTTTGATTATTGTCATTACTACTATCATTACTACTACTATTACTATTGTTATCATTATTATTATCATTAATATCATTCTCCTCATAATTATGATCCTTATAATTATTGTTATCATTATTGTTATCATTATCATTCACTTCTTTACTATTAATATTACTATTATCATTATTATCATTATTATCATTACTATCATTATCATCGTTATTATTACAGTAAAAACAATTATCATTACTATTATTATCATTATTATTATCATCATCGCCATCATCATCATCACCATAATCAATATCATCATTAATGTTATCATTATCATATCTTATTAATTACATTATCATCATTATTTTTATCATCGTTATTGTGAGTATTATGACTATTATCTTTATTATTATTTTCATTATTAACATTATCCTTACTACTACTATTACTACTATTATTATTGTTATTATTATCATTATTATTGTTATTATTATCATTATTATTGATATTGATATTATCATTATTGTCATTACCATCATCATCAATATCATTAATATTATCATTATCATTATTATTAGTAGTAGTATTAGTATCATTTTAACTATTATCATTATTCTTTTTTATCGTTATCATCATTATCATTATCAATATTATTACCTATAGCAAGGAGGTTATGTTTTTGGTAACGTCGGTTAGTTAGTTATTTTGTTTGTTTGCTGTTCGTTAGCAGGATGATTAAAAAATATGAATAGATTATAACAAAAAATACTTACAAGAGGTGTGTCTTAGCCGAACTTAAAAAGCATTAAGTTTGGTGGTGAACTGGATCGGTCCGGATAATAATGTGATTCTTCAAGAGTGAACATTTCTATTGTCTTGGCAGAGGTATGCGGTCTGTGCCTCTAGTTTTCATCATTATCATCATCGTCATTGCCATTATCATTCTTATCAATTTAATCATTATCAATATCTTTATCACTATCATTATCATTATCATTATCAATATCTTTATCACTATCATTATCATTATCAATATCTTTTATCACTATCATTATCATTATCAATATCTTTATCACTATCATTATCATTATCAATATCATCACTATCATTATCATTATCAATATCTTTATCACTATCATTATCATCATTATCAATATCTTCTTTATCACTATCATTATCATTATCAATATCAATTATCATTATCATATCATTATCATCACATTATCATTATCACTAGTGTCATTCATGCAGTCACTGAGATAACCTAAACATCATCACCACCGCCAATAACAGCACAGAATTACAAATCAAAATATTCCCGCACATCAAGGAAAGAGAAAACAGATGAGATCAAATTACCTCCAGTACAGTCGCGGTCGAACACTTTGTCGAGTATGTTTCGAATTCCGTCTCGAACACCCAACTGACGCCACGCTTTTTGTGAAGAGCGAGACAGATTCGAGGCTTCAATTCGAGGCGTGAAGCAAGTGGACGATTTTTTTTTTATTATATGGACCTGCTCGTTGAATGTCGTTGGCAATTACTGCTATTGGGGAACAACTGTGAGTGAGGTGAACTTAATAATTATGATAAAGAGAAAGATAGGGATTATGATGATGGTGAAAGTGATATTTACAATGATGATGACGATAATGATGATATGATAATGATGATGAATGATGATAATGATATGAATGAATAACAGTAATCTTGATAATAGCGATAATAATGATAATGATAATAGTAGTAGTAGTAGTAATGATAACAAGAATAATCATAATAATAGAAATGATAACAATAATATTGATACTACTACAAATAATAATAA